CCCTTATTTATTAATTAAATACTAGTTTACGCTTTGAGAGATTAAAAGTGTCCCAACTTGGACATATAATAGTCCAGCTGGCAGTTGTTCCTAGATATTAGGGAAACTGCCAATAGCCCTAAGCAGTAAAAAGACATAAAAGAAAATGCAAAGAATTTTGAAATGATCAGATTTCTACCTGGAGTCTCTACAACATGAACAGTGGCCTCATTGTTCCCATTCACGGAATATGTGAAGTAGAACCAGCAATCATCAACGTCCTTCTCCTTACAATGGGACAGGGGATCCACCTGGCCTGGCTGGGGCAATCTGTCCCGATTTTCAACCTTGGTAATGTTGAAATGTGAACATTCCTGAGCACAGGTGTCTTTCTTTTCTCCTTTGTTGAAGGCTCGGCACTGAACACATTCCCTGTAAAAATGCAAATGATTACATTGATTATTTAAAATAATATTTGCTTAAAGATTATTTTGTGTGCTAGACTCAAAATTTAACCAAATTAAGCCAAGAGCAATAGAAGAAGATATAAATAAATGAAGAAACACATTTCTAGATGGGAAAACTAAACATAAAGATGCTAGTTTCCCAAGTGATATTATAGATTTATTACAGCTCAAACTAAAATCCTCCAAAAGAAATAAGAGTAGGAAAATAAAACTAGCCCTATCAGATATTTAATACACAATTTAAAGCCGAAATAACTTTTGAAATGTGTTGCTGGTACAATAGTAGTCCTTTCTTCAAGGGACAAAACTTTCAATTTTATTTAGTTTAGCCAAAAGATAGTTAATAAAGCAATTGGTAATGCTAATTTAACAAAGGTTACCACATGGATTCACTTACATAGCAAACTCGGATTGAAATAATTGTACCATCACTCCCGTACGACACATTTCAGTATCATGTGACAAACACCAGGTACTGACAAAGAATTTTTAAGATTTAAAAACTGGGCTTCAATGTGACAGTTTATTTACAGAGTAACCTGATGTTAGCGCTGTTCTCTGTATTGTGTGCTGATACAGAGGCCAACAGACAGCGAGTTCTCACCCATTTCAAGCAATTCGGAAATACTCACTTATGCTCGGCACAGACTCCAAGGCACGTCTGGCACATCTCACAGGTCGGCCCTTGGAACTTGGGATCTGTACACTTACAGGCGCCACACTCACAGATGCCCCGGCCATTGCAGATCTGCCCATTCACAGCCGTGCAGGAGGTAGTGTCCAGAGAACAGTCACAGGCACTGCCAGTGTAGTTAGGGTTGCATTCACAAACACGACACTTGCAGACACCATTTCCTGCAATAAAAAATATCATTTCTCATAACAATGGTAAAAATGTAAAATCAGAGCACTGACCGAAAAGTGAAAACAAAAACACGTAAGAAAGGCTGTCTGTGGGATGGAGTGACCCTCAATGCTGCCCTTTTCCCATTTATTCACTAAGCAAACTCTCAGGATTTTTTATTGTATTAGATAGGACCACATTTTATAACCATTTTCAAACCCCTTCTCACCTCCACAAATTAAGCCATTGGATCTATCACAGTTGAAATTATCACACTCGCAGAATTTGCCCGAATAAATTTCGTTTGTGTTATCCCTCTTCCGACACACACACTGTCCACAGACACATTCTCCGTTGTTGCTACATATTTCTGAACTGTTTTCTTTCCTGCAGTAAGCGTCCATATCTTCACTGTTCACCTCATCTGTGCTACATTCACAATGTCTCCCAACACGTCCCTCGTTGCACCTAAACAGAGTCCAAAATTTCAATCACATAAAATAAAAATAAGTGAAAGTAACAAATCATGCTGTGAGAAAGACTGGGAGAGGAAGTAAGACTATGAACATTATCTTCAAACTACAATTTTATTACATGTCATTATGCCATACGTCACAGACGCGCACGAAAGTGTGCATATGCACACACACAGAGCCATTCAAATCCATATGGAATCTACACAGGGGCCCAGGAAAAAAAGCCCTCTTCAGGAAAGTAACCATTTTGATCAAGATGAAAATACAATCTAGCAATGAACAGGTGAACAAAACATTTAGAAACACAGGATAAACTTATTTTTAAAAGTGTGCTATGTTTTCAAATGATATGCTATTTATTACATTTGCTATTATAGGTAAAGCAACCATCCAATTGTTAATCTAAAAAAATACAATAAACACACCCCAAAAGGTGCATGGAAGTTGAAGAAAAACACACTGAGCCTATCATTTGAAAATATAACATACTGTTTAAAAATAAATTTATCCTACGGATCCAGACTTTTCAGCCACACTGCATATTTTTAGAACACCTAGTGTTCAGACACTGAAGATACTAGTTCTGTATCTGGTAAATACACAAAAAGAAGGAAGGCAGGGGCTTCCCTGGTGGTGCAGTGGTTGGGAGTCCGCCTGCCAATGCAGGGGACACGGGTTCGTGCCCCGGTCCGGGAGGATCCCACATGCCGCGGAGCGGCTGGGCCCATGAGCCATGGCCGCTGAGCCTGCGCTCCGCAACGGGAGAGGCCACCAACAGTGAGAGGCCTGCGTACCGCAAAAAAAAAAAAAAAAAAAAAAGCAAAAAGAAGGAAGGCAAAACATTTTCAAGATATCTTTCAGTTAAGTAATATTTTACTAAAAATGAATCTACACAATTCAGTCAGGATATGTATGACATGGAAAATTTAAAAACGTAACATTTTAATTGTTATTTAGAATAGAAAGCTAATAACTGACGGCAAAATACAGCCATCTATTTTTCTCATGATTAAAAACCCTTCAAAGCATAGTCATTTGGGGCTGACATTTGCATCAAAATATTCTTCCCTCCTCCTATTCTTTTAAGGAGAAAGATTATTCAGAGTACATTCAATTTTAATTTTTAATTAAAAAGTAATCACAGTATGAAAATAAAATTTAAAATAATCTGACTATAGTTTTGTTAGTAGTAGATTCTATGTTCTAAAAATAGTTTTCTTTTTAATTTTACAAAGTATATTGGTTTTTTAAAAATTATTCCAACGATTCAGAAGCACATGTAATACACGGTGAACATCCTTTATTGCTTCCTAATTCCATTTCCCAGATACAATCACTATTATTTTATATAAGCTTATTTAGCTCTAGAGAATTCAGACTGGTATAATGAGAGAAAAACCCAAATGCTACCTTAACCATTTGTTAAATATACATCTTGGATGGCTATAAAAGCTTTTATTTTACAGTAAAGGACAGTCTGCCTAAGGAAAAAAAAAGGCAGGGAAGAGCTTTCCATAAATAGCACACACAAGATCATCAAATTGATCTTGTGGTGAGCAACAGTGGCTGGAACAATCATTTATTTGCTCCAATGGACAGAATCTCTCTGGACGCCTGCCCCTGCAGCCGTCCCAGCCGCAGTCCCCCCGCACCCCATCACTCTCCACAGCCCCAGCTCACCTGCAGGCTCCACACTCAAAGGTCCCATTGCCATCATGGCACTTGGGACTGCCAGGGATGCCTTCACTCTGGCATTCACATTCACAGATGAACTGAAGAATAATCTCTACTTCTTCAGTGAAGCCCAGAGGCTTAATTTTAATGGTTTCAGAATTCTTATTTGGACATTTATTTGAAGTTACGCTGATTTCAAATTGAACCTTAAGGGAAAACAAGAAGATACGTTAACAACTATGCAATTTAAATCTACTAAAAAAATTGCAAAAAGCCACTCCAAAATTATATTTCTTTACCTGTTTCTCAAATTATAAACGACATTGCCTGTAAACAAGCAGTTTTTTCTTTTCTTCAGAAAACGTTTATGTAACATACCTCATCCCCAATGGAAATATTAGAGCATTTTCTCCCATTTTCCCCTGTTCCATTCACCCCATTCTTGCAGTAAGACTTGTAATTTATCGTTACTCCTTCTGGTAATTTGCTGTTTTCCAAAATGACTTCTGAAGACAGGGACTAAAAGAAAGACTATTAAACAGAGGAAAGGCAAACAAATGCTACTATAAAATAAGTTGAATGCATAAATCCAATGGGTAAAATGAACTGTTAAGAAACAGTATCATTTAAATAAAATATCTGAAGCCAAATCTTGAGTGACCAGAAAACACAAAACCCAGAGAAATGGGCTCTAATTAATAAGGATCAATTCTTCAAAATAATGTACATGACTGAAAAAAGTATTTATGGTTTAATTACTGAGTTTAAAATTTTAATGATGATACAGCACAGAGGGCTGATATTAATTATGAGGAGTCCTAAGAACTCAGAACACTTTCCTCCCCCAGTGGCAACACAGCTCTCCTCTGACCCTACCAACTTCCAGCTCACTAGGGACTAAAGTAAATGATCTACTACACAGTCTGGAAACAAATTTGCTCAGGTGCAGTTGCAGCCCTGCGCCCTCACCCCGCAAAAAAAGAAAACCCGAAGTGGGAGGATTCAAGGCACTGCGTTTTTAGAACAGCAGATTGCTCAGGACCAACGGAGAAGGCTGCAGCAGCAAGCTCTCTCCTGGTCACACTCCTGCATGGATGGAGCTGGGAAAGCATTAAGATATGCTGTAAAGACAGAGAACAAAACAACTATGGGAGAGACAGGGAACAACCAGAATCTAGAAGATCTTTGTAAAAACCTCTCTCTTCGAGTAGGGTCTTTCCAAAAAATTCTGGGAACCCCTAGCATGAGGTAGAAAATATCTAAAATTCAACCCATCAAAAGGCTGGGGTGGTGTACACAGTACAGGATGGTTACTGTTATATTACAAAGGCCTCCAGACGACTTACAAGAGTTATTGACCAATGGTGAATGAGTATCACTAAAGTACTCTGAACTAAAGCTCAAGATGGAGAAAATTCCTCTTTAATTTCAACTTCCTTCCAATCTGGGGGGGGGGGAAATCTTATAAATCTCATTAAAATGGTAAGTCAAATATATGTAAATACATTCATATATACTTTATGGTACATGCATATATGACTGTGTGTACCTCTTGAATACAGAGAACTATATACCCTGAATATATGTCAAGAGAAGAACTGGCCAAAAAAAAAAAAAAAAAAAGCTTTTCTGGCACAATTCATCAAAATAGATGAACCTATAAAAAAGAAGACTGAGGTCATCTATAAATCTAAATATAAGTTGTTTCACACTTGCTTTCCAACAAGGAGACCTATTACTTAACAACATTAAAACAGAATTTAGAAAATTTAACCACATGCCTTTGTTACATTTTGCTCTGCAGATAATTATGTATTTGTAAGAGAATATGAGTTTTTCCTCCAGATGCAGAATTTAAGTTTTATGTTGTCTTCTGGGGCTTGCTAAATTGTGTATGAAAGGAGTTTTACTTTTTTTGAGAAAAGTATTCTCCACAGGGTATTGCCCAAAACAGATCTTATTTAAAATGCACTCACATTGTATGCATCGATGATCAACTGAATTACATTGCTAGAATTTGCAGATAATGTTCCTACTGCTGACTTAGGGATCAAATTTTTCAGTTCCTGCAATTAAAAGATAAAACATAAAATACAAGTACTACTCATTCAACTAATTAGCATCTACTGAGTACTTACTATTTATTTTTAAATAACAGTTCTCGATACATTTCCTAAATAAACTTAAGGAGTCAGACCTAAAAACAACTAGCTTTACAATGTAACTAAAATTAATATACACCTTTTTTTTAGCTGGTGACATTTTCCCGCATTTCAATTCAGACATATCATTTTGCCTCTAATGACTAAACAAAAAGGGTCTAGAAATGTGTTCCTCTTTTGATCTAACATGTATATATTTACCTTGTAAACGGGCTGAAATTCTTCAGTAACTGCAAAAATCGTCTGAATGTTATTTTCACTTAGTTTTTGGACAAGGTGAGCAATAGAAGGATAATCCTAAGAAATTAAGTAATAAAATTTAGTATGTAATTACACCCAATTTACTCCAGGTTTTCAATACTTGCTGAAAATAATGATTTGCAGATATCAACTGGATTACTTACAAAAGACTGCTTGAAACAACACAAATTATTGCTGAAGTGGGTGCTGTCTAGTGGGTTTCTAATCCTCCTCTATCTTTATATGTAAATTTTAAATTTCCATAATGAAAAGACTTTAAAGAGCAAGATTATCTGTGTATATTAAATGTCAGAACAATAAAAGTAAAGAACTGCCAGTAATTAAAGGTTATATTATCTACGTATCACTTAAGAAAAAGACCAAGATTCAGCAAGGTTTAGATTTCTTCCAGACCTTGAATAATTTGCCAATCTTTATTTTCAGTAGAGGCAGGGTGCCTGCTTTCTTAAATCATGTATAAATAAGACAAGGAGTGTTAAGACTATACAAATGATTTGATTAGACATAATATCAAGCTTGCTACCCCTTGACGTATGCGAGTGAGAGGAGACAGAGCTCTGGGCTGAGGTGCAGAGTCGGGAGTCAGCAGCTCCCTTCACCCCTGGGCCCTCATCTACATGGAAGGAAGCAAGCACAAAGCCAGAGCCTCAAAACAGCAACACGAGCTTTCCTGCACATTAGGTCAGGGCCCAACTTACCAAAATAACAAAACCCCAAACCCTGAAAAACCCACAAGCCAGTCACCCACAATACTCTTAGTATTAGACACTAAACTCAATCTGAATCCATTCAATATGTAAGGAGCTAAGCACTTACATAATAATGGCTCATTGTGTACACATCATTTTCCAGGTGACACTGTCCATCATTTGGTAAAACAATGCCACCAAGTTTCCCATCTCCAGCAAAGTGAAACCCAGCATCCGTGGAAAACACCAGCAGCCGTGTCACATTCCTCCAGCCAATCAATGACTCGAAAAGAAAAGGATTTCAATTTTAAAATACTACCCACAATTCAGCATAAATCTTTTCATCTTTATGTAGGCTACCACTATACTCTCAACCTAATTCCGTAACTTCTCTTTTCACAGTGCCAATATCCTTGTGGATGAAGGCACAGAGACCACTGAATAAAACTCCCCCACCCCACTGTAAACCTCCACCCTGCCTGGCTATCCAACTCTCTCAGCTCTTTTTTAAAAACTGTATCTTTTAAAGTCCATGTCTCTCTCCCCATTAGAAAGTACGCTCCCTCTGTGCAGGGCAGGGACCACATCGGGTTTTGGGCTTCATCTTATCTTCAGCAGTCAGCACAGTGCTTTGGCACACAGTAGGTGCTTAATGAGTAAATGCAAATGTCTCAGCCCACACCCATCTTGGCCCAAATATCACTGTCTCATTCCCATCCATCCTTGCTCCGCCTTCTGTAGTGTATACTTCCTTAATCAGCCACATTAGGCCTTCCTTTTTTAATTACAGAAAAAAGTACCTTCTCCAAAGACTTGCCCTGCTTAATTCCACCCATTCTAACCCATCAGTACTGCTTATTTGTTCATTTATTTTATTTTCCACCTTATTCAGCAAAGAATTTAAAGTAGCAGTAAAATCCTCTAATATGGTAATTTTATAATCACATCTGTCTAAATACTCAATTATATCTGAATATATCTCCATAAGACTATAAAATCCTTGAAGGCAGGAATTAAGTTTATTAATGCCGGCAGTCCAAGTGGAATGTCTGTCTCTTTTTCATGTAGAGAAGTAAGTGGAACAGTTACTCTCAGTCAGCATGAGGAAAACCGAGAGTAGCGGCCACAGATGCTATGGCTTGTTTTAATCCCAAGGCTAAGGCACAGGTAGAGGCAGCCCAGGGAATGCTCTCTCCACAGTGAGCTGCTAACAGGATCACAAATGAATGGCTGGAAAGAAAACAGGCATCAGGCTAGGCACTACCTGGAATATCACTCTCTTCCCCTTTAAAAGCAGAGACTATCCTTAAATTGCAACTACCCCAGTGAGAGGTCAAGAGTAACGATAACCTAGTAGTTAATATTTGCTGGGTGCTTAGTGGCACTGTACATGGATTACCGTATTTAAACTTCGTAACAACCCTATGAGGTTTATCTGTTATCCCTTCTTAAGGAGAAGGAAACAGCCCTCTAGAATGGCAAGGAAATAGCCTAGTGGATGAGCAGTGATGGGAACATTTGAAGCCATTTCCTAACAGTCTAAGGACTGTTGTCTTAAACACTATACCATATTATCATCTTGGGTATCAAGGTACACATTAAAAATTGGTTGGAAAATAACCATTAAGAAGCATCTGGAATCAAGGAAGGTCTTCCAGAGCATAGGGGTACTCTAAAGGAAAAAGGGGCGGGAGGGAATGAGACAGGTACTTAAACTTTATCTACCTCACAATGTTTCCTAGTTTCAGCTTCAGCTGAATCATTAAAAGGTCACCTCAAAATCACCACCTGGTAAATGGGTCATAAAATTCTAACCACTAAGTCCAATGGAGATCAGCTTACTACTACTGAAAATCTTGCAATTAAAATTACAATTATATGACTTCTCAAAATACCTGTTCTCATATAGCTTTCAAACTAAGACTTAAAAAGTTCTTTCTTTTTGAATGACTAAGACATGGGGAAGATAACTCTCAAAGATGATAAGCAGAAGAAAACTGACCAGAGGAAAATGGTGTCTGAGACACAGTCCATTTGAGCACTTTTAATGCTCCTGGAGACGTCCCAGATAACCCCAACTCCATCTCAGGCACGAAGCCGGAAAGCTAGGGTTCCTGGGCCTCTTCTAAAAACCTAGAGCACTGTTTCAAGTGGTGAGCATTCTGGCTTTTAAAACCCTGTGTAAATGAACTAACCGCCTGGTTTAAAATAGGGGCATAATGATTAACTATGCTTTTATAAAGCATTTGTAGTTGGAGGGAACTTAAGGGATTAGTCAAGTATGCTACAGTAATTAAGGTAATTTCTTCTGACAGCAAAATCACACTCAAAATTCATACAAATAATATCCTTTTGTAGAAAATGAATGCACTCACTCCACAAACTGCAACTTGCATGATTGCATCAAAGCCACCTTCTGGAGAATCCAAATTTCCAGATATGCGCTGTTTACCAACAAGTTCATTAAATACCTCCCCTTTATCAGTAAGGCTGAGCACATTTTTATAGCTAAATGGGCTGGTGCAGTTCTGTTCACTTGTGCAAGGGTTCCTGAGTTTAGCTGGTGTTGTGCTAATGTAAGGCATCACGGTTTTCTCCACAAATGAGCCAAACCCTGTGAAGGAAAATGCACACAGAGTGATGACAGATGGAGGGTAGATGGATGGACGGATGGATAAACTGCATGAAAAAAATCAAGTACATTACCACCTGTAAGTCAATCTTTTTCTTTAATAAGAAATAATAAGGGTTTTAATAATTAGGTTTGGAAAGGAAATCACTGTATGAAAAATCCAGGTCTGACGTGAGATTAAGGCTGTACAGGCAGGTGTGGTCATACTAACTAGTAATAAAAAAAAATGTAATCAACATGTTTATAAAATATATCAACAAACCAATGCATAAATTCCTGTGAAAACATGCAAGCATTTTATTACCTATGTGGTGTAAGGTGTGTCAAATAACATGATCGCCTACAGTAACAGAGGAATAAGGAGGTGGAAAAATTATTAGATGTGTGACAGGAATATCAGTTCTCTCAAAAAGAAAAAACTAAAACCTGGCCTATTTATCTCACATGCATGTGGTGAAGAACAAAACTGCCAGTATTTATACAAATGAAAACTATTAATCTTCTCAAAATGCCTACCAATTCGGAAGTCTGAAGTAATCCTCCTCATTTCATTCATCAAATCAGTTCCAAGACTTTTCACATTCTCCAAGTCGTCTTTCATAGAGTAGGAGAGGTCCATAAGGTAGTAGAGATCGATGGGATAGTCTTCAGCTCGCTTGAATTTTAATGTAAATGTCTGTGGCTCCCCTAATTAAACAGAGATTAGAAAAGAAAATTAGCTTGCCAACAATCAAAAAGCAAATGAGAAAAACCAAGTAAATTCGATCGATAAGGTATACACTATAAACTGTATTATCGACATAGTTTTTACAAAAACCTGGGCATTCCACAGGTAACTGAATAAATGGAAGTGTACTCATTTCAATCACAAATACTTAAAATGCTAGGCCCTGGGGATGGTGAAAAAGACAGCATTCCCCATCCACAGCAGGCAAGACAGGCAAACAGTGGGTTGGTAACTATGACAGAAGAAAACAGACAGCCAGAACAACATCAGCTAGACTGGGTGGGTGAGGCAGATACACTACAGGGTACACCAGACTTTTTAGAGACTAACGTTATAAAGTGAAGACTCTTCTTTGTTTAATGCGATGCACTATATGCAGCGAGTAACATAACCTGATTTTCACTGTAGAAAACCTGAAGAATCGTTTTAAAGATGATTATAGAGACAAAGAAACTTGTTAAGAAACTATAGCAAAGATCTAAGAAAAAGAGGATAAGGATCTGAAACAATCAGGAAGGAGAAGAGATGTACCAGTGGTGTGAGATATAATCCACTCAGAAAATACAGGAGAAGGAAGAGGTCTGGGTGAAAAAGTCATTAAAATTTTAACTTGCAGATTTTCTCTATATAGACTTCTAGTTGACAGTTGGATAACTGGGTTTGGAGCTTAAAAGTCTGTGTTACAGCCCACAAGTGGCTTTAAAGCCATAAGAGGAAAACCAACAATTAAGTGGACTACAAAGAGGAAGGAAGAAAAAAGACACAGAAAGGAGACTGGAAAGCACTGTTAAGAGACAAGAAGAAAAGTAGGAATGTTATCGCAGAAGCCGCAAGGAGAGCATTTCAAGAAGCTCGAAGGCATCGCTTGGACAGGAAGGTTAATTAAAAAAGGCCTGATAAGAGTCCACCAGGCCTGGTGGTTCCAGGGTGCCAGCAGAGCTTTGCCAGAGCAGCTCTAGAAGTGGAAGGATGCCGGCACCAGGCTGAAGAGAGAGCAGGCGGGGAAGGGGTGGCAGGGAGGCAGGCACGGGACAGTCCTCTGAGAAGAAGGGGCGGGAAACTAGAAGAGGAGAAAGGGAGCTTATTTCTTCTTTCTTTTTCCCAGATGCAGGACTGCTCCAGATTCTTATGAAAACCTTAATATTTTATCAATACTGAACAAAAACAAAGGAAAAAATAGATTAATATGTTGTCTTTATATTATGTAATTATACCAGAAGATGGACATTTTTGTCTTTAAAAATCCATTAAATCTAATACTTTCTGAATCTTTAACAGAATTTACATTAGACACAGGTAACACTTACTTCAGGTACATGTGTCTTACAAACTGTTATACCTCCAAAAATATCTAAAAGTTAATGTATTCAACATTTCTATTTGAGTGTCAGTCCACATGTGAAAATGAACCCTCAACAGAAACTTACATAAAGTTGTCAAAAAGCTCAAGTAGACACAAAGGCATTCATAGAATCAGATTTCTGTACCTGATCGTAATTGCAAAACCAACTGCTGTGGTTGGATCTGAGTAATATCTTCTGGCTGCAGCTTCTCTGCTGTTCCTTTGCTACGGTTGGTGACATTTTTATTTTTCTTTATATCTTTGGAGCCTCTGGGATTTTCAATGTCATCTGGATGACAGCCCTTCTTTTTTAAGGCTTCTAAATCATCACATCGAGCAGAAGTAGGCATTCCTTCTTGTAAAAATGTCTAAGTGACATGTAAAATATAGGTATAAATAAAAAGTATAGTGGTCAAACCTTTTACATGGTCGTAACTGCAAATAAGTAATTAAATTGCAAAAATCAGGTAACACATCTAATGTACTTCATTTCTGGTTTTTAAACAAAATGCTCCCTTCATCCAAACCATAATAAACAAAACATAAATTTTTCCTTGAAAGTAATACCGTTATTGCTAATATATTACTAGTACCGTATTACTTTAGTAATACTTAGAGGACTGACCTAAGTGTACATTTTAACCGTTTCATGTTCAAATTCAGAGTATCTACTCAAAGAAATTTCTTTTGTGAAATTATTTAGCATGGTTAAGAGCCACTATTAATATATATAACCAAATATCAGACAAATATTTTTTCCAAAATTTCCCTTAGAAAAATTCTTAGAGTCTCTCATATGTAGCAGCATCCTTCATGATATTTTGAACAACTCAATGTATAGGGAAAACATGTCACCCTAAAACCTTTCTTAAAAAGGAGAACAAGAAAGTTACCACAGATTTAGTAAGTACTCTTGGAGGTTTAAAAATATTTTAGGTATTGGCTATTATTGTAAACAAGCCTTTTAGAACTTATTTTTTAAAAAAAACGTAGTAAGTGATTATACGACAGGGTCAAAAATGTATATAGGGTGAATTTTTTTAATGTAATGGTATGTGAACGGTACTTGTGGCATGGGGTAAAATTTCCACTAGTGACATGATTTTAAAATGTGCTATTTTTATCAGATGACTGACTAAGTGAAAGCAAAAACACTGCTGTTAAGATGCATGTAAAGGTTCTAAATATGTTTTTCATAAATGTGAGGAAGGGGAACAATGACGGTGTATTCATGTATATGTGTGTGTATCATTTTAAAATGTGTACTCCTAATAGACATTTAACTTTTTCACATATACCCCTAAAAATTTGTATTTAGTTGGCCAAAAATCTTTTTAAAAATCTTGACATTGGGAAAATGAGGAAATGCCTTTCATTTGGGGTCACTTTATGTTTTGTATGGTTGTTTATTATCTACCAACTTCATGGTGCTGAATAAAGTGAGGATATTTATATACAAAGATTACAAAATGGTTTTGATCAGTTATTTTTTAAAGGAAACATAGTACCAAATGAGAGCCTTTCTGTACTTAGAAAAACTGGAAGGGAGAATCATGGGCCCAACGGTTCAAAGCTGCACAACTTTTATGTGTGGTCAAACCTAAAATGCTGCCAGAGCACAGGGGCCCAGTGCAGGATCCACTTCCAAATATTAGCCAATCCAGGAAACTAAGATCACAACACTCAAGTAAAATTTCACTAAAGATATCCCAAAATACCTTTAATAATTTAAGAATTATGCCATAAAGATGGCTAAATTATTGAAAGAATAGTTTGGCTAGGATAACCCTAAACCCCAGATAAACTGTAACCCTCATAAAATGGATGCTGTTGTTGAGAAGAGCATGTACCACTATTATAATCTTCTAAGTGAAACTGCTTTAAGTTCATTTGATTCTTGTAAGAACAGAGATAAAGGAGGCAGATTATGCTCATTTTCTAGGTTAAGAAAACCAAGAGTTTCAGTTAAGTGAGCCCAGTCCCAGACCAAACTCAAGGCACTCCCTATTTCCTTCACTGTCTCCAATTTAAGTCCAGAATACCGTTTTTAGGAGGACGGAAGGTGCCAGTAGAAAATTTTTAAAATAACAAAACGAAAACTTCTCATTTTGTCTTTCATAGGTCAAATCATATGAAATATCTGACATTTGACCAGTAACGCCCACAAAACAGGTACTTGACTGCGGGGTCAACTGCCTGAGTAAAAACAAATAGTAAGCCTTTGACCTTCTGATATTATTCACTCTGTAAATAAATTATATACCCTCAAAATGACTTCCCGTTACCTCCAGTACCAACTTAGCATTCATCTATTCATTGATTCATTCATTCATTCAATATTTAGTAAGCTTTGTGGAAGGTACCATGTTGAGCAATGTAGAGAGATGACAAGAGTGAATAAAATTTAAAGCCTAACCTCAATGGGCTTTGATTAGGATGCAAATCAAGTGTATATTAGTTTAATTAAAACACAATTAGGCAGGTTAATGTATACCTCTCCCATCATAAAAGAAGGGAAAAATCTAAAACAGTCCAATGAAATGGCTAGAGGTTTTTGGGAAGCTGTTCAATAGAAACAATGCACGCTACAAAGGTGAGCTACGTATGTATTTTTAAATTGTCTAGTAGCCACGCTGAGAGGAAGAAAAAAAGAAACGGGAAATTAATAATATATACAAAATGTCAGTGATTTCAAAATTCATTAATGTTGAAATGCTAAGTCTTCGATCTCTGGTGTGTATTTAAGGCTGACGGCAATTCTCAATTTGGACCACCCATATCTCAGGTGCTCAACATCACCACACATGCCTAGCAGGCCCTGTGCTGGGCAGCACAGCTCCAGAGCATCACAAAGGATTACACAGAGCTGACGCTTATTCAGTCAACAATGAGGAAGTGAAAAGTCACACTGAGCACTTCCCAAGGATACAGTTTTGGGCAACAGTAAATGACTAGAGAATAGATAGGAAGACTTGAACAATCTTACTTACTGAATTTGTGCACCATCCACAATTTGGCCCTGCTTGTATACACTCTCCACATGATTTGGCATTTGCTTTTAAACATCTATTTTCATCTGTCAGGAGAAACAAAGAACAGACCACTTTACTTGAAGTTTCAAGAGAGAGAACAGTGGAAAAATCTGGATCACAATGACAAATAATACAACATATAGGAACGTTAAATATAAACACTATGAACCTCATTACTAAGCTGATTCAGACCTACCCCCCAGAGAGAGGTGATTTTGGATCATCTTGGCACAGAGAACCATAAAAAGACACAGTTATCTCTCTTGTCTTCTATAGCAAAGACTAGGTACCCTTAATCTATACATTTGTCTTTTTTTTTTCAAAGGCATGATTTCAGGCTCTTTCATGTTGGATGGTCATTAATTCTCAGGAGTGTTCTTACAACTGGGTAAAAGTATTATTTCTCTTCATTTAACGCATCCCACCACACCCATACCCCACCCCCTCAAGCAGGCACTTTCATTTTCGTTTGTTAAATACTTGAAAAGTCCATATTCATCCAATCCACAACCCCTTGATTTTTCAGGTCTGTGTTCAAAGTACGCCATATAGTTCCTTAAATCCGTGTAAGGATCAGCATGTCTGCCGTGTGGTAAGTACTAATATGGACTGTCTCCAATGTATGTTTTCTGATTATAAACCTAACACATGCTCATTATAAAAAAATTTGGAAAATACGTAAAAGTATAAAGAACAAACTAAAAATCACTCAAAACCTGCTCACTAAGAGATAACTACTGTTAACATTTTTTGTATATTTCTTCCCAGTCTTTTTTCTAAGCAGATAAAACAAGAGCAAGGAAGCAGGCATATACAGACATTATTTAAATGAAATCAAGGATATACATTTTATATACTACTTTTTATACTTAACCCAAATGTTTCATTCCAAATTCTTCAAAAACATGGCTTTAATGATTACATATTCCATTATATTAATGTATCCTATTCAATGATGGATAAATTTAGATTGTTTTTAATTGCATAGTTCACACATGCCACATGAACCCTCCACATATATACACATACACGCATATATATATGCACCCACTCTGATGACCATTCTTATAATGTAAAACTCTGATTATTTCCTTATCAAATTAAAAAAAAATACTGAGGCGAAGAGTATTAACTTTTAAAGATTCTCAATACACACTAACTTCTCTCCAGCAGTAACGTTCAAACGCACACTCCCACAGCAATGTACACACACCACTTCACCATACCCTCAACAAGGAACACTTTTTTAATGCAAATATTTTTTAAAATGCATTTAACAGGTATAAATAAGAACATCAATTTAACTGTCAGTTACTGAAGGTTTCATTTTTTTTTTTGCGTTTTTACTGGCCATTTCTTTTATAAATTTTCTGTTACATCTTTTGCAAATTTTCTATTATCATGTTCATCTGTTTTTATTAGAGCTCTACATCTGTAAGTGAAATTAAATCCTTATTTAGTTTCTCATTTTGTCGATGGTATTTTGACACATAGATACTTTGGTTTTTTATGTTATTGCTGATTTTATGTAATTCAATCAATAACTTCCCTTGGTTTCTTTCTTCATTTTTCCATGTGTTAAGCCCTTCCACCCTAATATCAAACAATTGTTCTATGCAGTGTATTTTTTAATTAATTAATTTATTTTTGCTGTGTTGGGTCTTCGTTTCTGTGCGAGGGCTTTCTCTAGTTGTGGCAAGCGGGGGCCATTCTTCATCGCGGTGCGCAGGCCTCTCACTATCGCGGCCTCTCCTGTTGCGTAGCACAGGCTCCAGACGCGCAGGCTCAGTAGTTGTGGCTCACGGGCCTAGTCGCTCCGCGGCATGTGGGATCTTCCCAGACCGGGGCTCGAACCCGCGTCCCCTGCATTAGCAGGCGGACTCCCAACCACTGCGCCACCAGGGAAGCCCGCAGTGTATTTTTTGAGATTTGGAGAAAAGAACTGGACATCCGTTATTCCAGATGTGGATGCACCATGGTTTATAAGAGGATTAAATATATTTTCAGTTTTATTTTTCATTCCTCTCCTACATGACGCCAACGTTTTGCAAGACTTTTGATCAAAGTGCAAGAACATCTTCTGGAAAGCCAACTGTTCCTGCTTTCACTCTTTTAGACAGTAGTGGACAGTTCATAATCCACTGTTCTACACATTTACTTCATTTCCTTCTACAGATGTAACACGCCTTTGCTTTCTCTATGCTCACTTACACACTCTATGATATTCCCCAAAGAGCTCTGTGCAGTGCATCCTATTCCCGTTGTCACTCTGGGTGACTGGGGGAGAGCCTGAGAAAGGGCCTTGCAGGCACTGGAAGGGCCCTGCCCTCAACTCTGAAGGAGGTGAGGCCACAGCAAGGCTTTCAGAAGGAGCAAGACGGGATGTCGGTTTTTCCAGGAATCTGAAGTGGTCAAAAAGTGACACAAGATACTGAAGTGAAAAGACAACTATGAAACTTTTTTTACCTGCTTGGCCAAACACATAGCAAACTGAACTGATCAATCCAATCCAGAAAATCAGTTGTAAATTCATCTGAAATATAAAATGTACCATGTTATATTAAGGAAAAACAACATATAAAGCCTAATCATTGCCACGCACCTGATCGTCTGCTAATTTATAAGTGTAAATGCATCTTCCTGCCCAGCCCTTCTCCATGCTTAACATCCACCTCTCCCCACAGCACCTCACCTTCCACTCCGGATTCCCAGAATCCACTCTTACTTTTCTCCACATCAATTATACATTAATATTTAATGAACAGTGCTCAAAACAAAAAGTGTCAAGTATTCCTACACCTAAAAGCTATTAAGTCTTTGTCCCATGGAATCTCTATTACCTCCTGTGACTCCTAGGGGGCCAAACAGCCATATCCATATGCCTCAGTTACCTCAACACTGAGTGTTAGTTTGAGTGAACCTGTCAAAATCCTGATCATGTCACCCCCTTGCTTACAACTTTTCAATAGTTTTTATTTCTCCTAAGGCTAAGACCAACATCCTGTACAAGGCCCCAGCTCAATTTTTGAGTTTGATGTCCTGTAACTATTTCTTAAGAAAATCAACTTCTGTGTATGGAATTAGTAAAATATTCAGTTCAATTTCCTACAATTTCTAGATCTACAAACTATACAAAAGTGGGGGAGAGGGACATAAGAAGACCTGAAAGAGGCTTAAGTGTCCTTTAGAATCTCTAAAGAAAAATTAAATAAGAGTCTGTATATTAAGCAGGATACCTCAAACTCCAACCATTAGGTGTGTAACTGTTTTCCGTGAATCAAAGTTTTCACAACATTAATCTATACCTCACCAGAGTTGGTCAAAGACGGCTATAGCCACAGGTCGCTGACCCTATCCCTTAACTACTTTTACTGCTCTTGGACTAGCAGCCAGTCTGATAATTATGCATGAACACCTGCCCCTTCCACAAGAATGCAAAAAAAAACAAAAGCAAATATAACACCCCCCCCACCACCAAGCAAAGTTTAGCTTTACTACTTAGCAAAGAAATATAAATTAAAGCAATGTAAGGTAAACCAGCAAGGAGGAAAAGAAAAAAAGTTTTTTAACCCAACAAAACAACAGAACAAAGACTTACTGCAGACAGCTAAGAGAGACCAGAGATGGCTGTAAACTGGTATAACTTGGGGGGAAATAATTTAACAATCTATATCAAAAAGGATTAAAACTGTTTCTACCCTCTGACTTAGTAAACAATCTACTAGGAATTCATCCTAATAATTTAAAATATAAAAAGTGATACACATGCACATACACTTTCAGTATAGACTCTAGCATGTTTATAACAGACAAAAGTGCCAACGTCCTCTAGAATGATGGGGAAAGGGCTAACCGTGTCAACTTGATGGACTACTAGTCAAAAGAATAAAATGCAGTAACATCAAAAGGTTTACAGGATAACTTCTGGATGCAAAGAACACATTAAGATGACAGGTATGTAAAAATAACAGTATATAAACGTATAAAGTAACCAAAGAATCCTGGAGATGACAGAGTTATAAGCATAATATAAAGGCAATGGGTTCATTTGTTTTTAAATTGTTCTAGTGTTTTCTTCTTTTCACTTTCTTAGTAAAAACAATTACGGCAGGGTACTGCTGTGGAATTTTTTTCGTTCTTGGTGTATTTCCTTTAATAAGAAAAAAAAATTTCTTTCAAAACCCCTCATTTTCAAGGGCTTATGTTCCAGGACACAATCCCACAGCTCCAAGAGAATGCTTTAAAGTTATGCTCTGAGCACCCCTGGGATACTGGATTTCCTCTGTCAAATGCTGCTCACATTTTCTGGTTTCCCAAAGAAAAGCAGTATGAATTAACTTGCACAGTCATCCACTTTGCAACCGTGCTCAGAGCAGCCAGTTCTGTTATGCCACAGTTTTGCTTACGTTATTACTTGTGACTGCATCCAAAAGCCCAACAAAAGCTGCGGGTCATTTCACACTGAAGTGTGAAATGCCTGACAGTTTACCTTTTAAGGCCTGACTAAAAGGTTCAATGTGTAAAAAATCCACGCAGACTATAAATTCTAAACAATTCAAATAACGTTAACAATTCCAAACCTAAGATTAAAAGGATCTGGAACAGCAAGACGCCCGAAGAAATGCATGACTGTGATGAATGGAACATCTGGGCAGTTTCTACACAAAGAGAACAGAACAAATATTTGGTCCATATATGGACTCTGACACGTGTGTCTTCAGGATACAACTCAGGTCACCTTAAGGACCACTAGACTACCTTGGGAAACCTTTAAAATGTTACACAACTCAGAGAAGCACCGCTAAGATAAAGTTATTTGGTAGCAGAAAAAGTTTCCTAACATTCTTAGGTCCTGTAGCTTTAAAATACTTTAATGCCATTTTTCTTTTCCTTCTATAAACCTTGATGCGCCAAAGACCAACCTTCTGAGGAAGCAGGCAGCACACAGCGGGGAGGGCAGCCCAAGGCCAGCAGCAGCCCCGCCAGGGTGGCAGCCAGGCCTGCAAAGGCCAGGCTTTCTCCCCGGGAAGCAGAGAAGCCCTAGGAGATAAAGGAAAGCCATGAGGCTGGCCGGGCGGAGACAAGACCAGCAAGGAGGGCCCTGAGGAGAGCAGGCAGCAGAGAGGCGGTGGGGCGCAGGGGCAGGGAGGAAGGACGGCGCCCCAAGAGCTCCGGAGACTTCCAGAGGCCCTGAGGCAGCACCGGTCAGTGTGTGGTCCAGGGAGAACCCCAGGCCTGAAAACCCCTATCCTGGGAGGTGGGGCCTACACCCCAGGTGACTCTCAGGCTGAGAAAGGTGCCCGCGGAGTCTCCCCGCAAGAGCTCTCCACACAGAACAGCTCCTGAGGAGAGGCCACCAGGGAGAGATCCTTCAGGTCCTGTCCTCACTTAACTTTCACTGTCTTCGTGATCAAAGGTCTAGAAATAGTTGTCTACCTGGGTCTCCGTCTCCCTCCTCCACCTGTGTAACTGGGTATCCGCTTCCCACCGTGCATGTGAAACTGCTGTTGAAAAAGAAAACTTCCCAGGCCTATCCTACTCTCTGCATCCATTCATTCATTCATTTATTCAAAACTTTAGTGCCTGCCTACAAAACGTACCTGGGGACATACATCAGTTTACCACCCAAAGAATTTACACAGCAACGCTGACTACACCTCACTGTTCTTTCTTAACACGCTCTATTCCCACGGACTTTACTGGCTTCTCCCTGACCTTCTGGGTGTTCTTCCTCTGCCAACTCTGTCAGGCTCTGTGCCCTACTGGAGACACAAAGATCACTGTCTCGAGGAATTTTCAGTTCAAAGACAAAAAATACAAATAATTACAATGTGATATGCTGGTTTCTATAATGAAGATAAGGACAAAGTGCACTGAGGATGCCAAAATCTGCCGGGGCAAGTTCAGAAGCTTCATGGAGGTTCAAACCGCAGCCTCATAGGAAACGGGTAGGCACTGGAGAGAAACACCCCAGGCAAAAGGTCTGCACGTGCAAGGCCACGGAGTCCTGAGAAGAACTGTAATAACTTCTTTCCAATCTTATTACTAAACATACACGTTTGGGTGACTTCTCTCTTTCCCCCCAAACTAGGATTGATTTGCTCTAGCTTTACAGAAAAAAGACTACAGAAAAAATGTATTTATATGTTATTTGCAGTTAAATCTGGTCAGTGGGATGAGTGATTATTTTATCCCTGTAATTTTCTACAGTAAGTATAAATTATGTTAAAATCTTAAAATACCATAAAGGCCAAAAAGAATCTTAAAGTACTTAGGTATTTCTGAGACTTAAATTATAAGCTGGAAATAACAGAAACCGAGACCAGCAAGGCAGGAGGTTACAGTCAGGTTACAGAGAGCCTTAAATGCCATTCATGCTAAGAGTTTAGATTCTATTCTACATGTAGCAAGAAAGCTGGAAAAAAATGGCACAGGGTAGTAACATGACAACATGTAAGTGGCAGAAAATCAGTGGGGTAGAGGATGAATGGCAAGACAGGAGCTACTGGACAGGTACAAAATTTACTGCTGAGGTTTCAGAGTAAAAATGGACAAGACAACAAATCAGTGATTAGGAGGGATCTGAGGGTTGCTTAGATAAGGAAGATGGTTGCTTAGATACGGTAGGGTGAGAGAAGAAGGGAATCATCACTTTCAAATGAAGAAGACAGAAAGAGAACGGAGTTAGGGGAGAAAGTACTGATTTTGATTTAGAAATGTCGAATGTGAAAGGCCTGTGTGAAATCTAGGAAAGATACAAACTGGGAAATTAAGACCTATGGGCCTAGCTTTCAGGAATTCAGGGTTAGAGATATATACCCAAGAGCTGTGGATGGCAATGAAATTATGAAGATGGTTGAGATTGTGAAGAAAAGAATACTAAGGAAGAGAAGAGAGCTGCAGGCAGACACGAAGAGAGTGATGGAGCCAGGGTCCCCTGGAGCAGAGAGGCGGGCAGCACAAGGGGCATATTCCCCTGAATAGAGGCGCAGCATCTTTCTCTAAGTCAGGGCAGGGGGTAAAAAGCTGAGCGAGTTCAGGAATGACAGCTCACGTTTTTTCCTGAAACAGGAAGCAAGGACAAGTGCTGGGAGAAAAGGGGAGAGGGGAGTTGGGAGACTGAAGAAAATCAAGAAGATGCAACAGGATTATAGAGCAATGCTGAGGGCCCAGCAGGTGCCGGACACCCTAATTATAAAGACACATTTCTAACACTCATCTCACCTGCAACTACCTGTTAAGTGTCTGCCCTGACAGGTTCTAAGCACCAAGAAGCACTTGGCATAAAATCAATGCTCAAAAACTTTTGCTGAAATATGTTAAACTGTATGACATTTTTCTTGGACGTTATTTAGAAGCCCAGGAAAGAAGAGTTTCTCAGAATTAGTTACTATGCAGACCCTCTTTAAATAGCAAACAGTTACTGTAGATACCCTAGGGATAACCATTTTCAATTCACTGAAGTATATGCAAGCCAACTTGCAGCTAGATATAAAATGCCTCATGCTCCAGGCTCTTGTACATTATGAACCA